CGCCACTTTGTTTGAAGGCGATATGATCTACTGAATTGACGCAAGAGGTGTCATGATTTTGTATGTTACTTTACTAGAGTGTATTGCTACATGCACTAGTTAGTCTCTTAGTCTAAAAGTCACTTAAAAACTTTAAATTGAAGCAGCCCATTGTTAAGTTGTTTTATGTGTCTATTACATTCCAAATGGTGTATACAGTAAGAACAGTTGCTGTAATCTAGTATGTATTCAAGATATGAAAGTCAATGTAAAGTAAATATTAGTGTAGATGTTGGCATGACAATGATTTTAGGGCCCCCTAGCAACTTCATTTGGGACTGCAGTTGAACATAAACTAAAGCTGTTTGTGTCTCTGACTTCTGTAAGTGTTTGTGCAGGTATTTCTGATGTCTACCTCCACCTACTGGGTATATGCAGGTAAAAGGATGCTTTTTTGGCTTGTTGACCTAGTCTGGGTATGGCTTCTTTTTTTGAGACAGTGGAAGATGAATGCTTTCAGCACAAACAGTTCACTCTTGGCTGGAAAATTAAAAGATAACCATCAAAGACGCACCCTTAAAAAGTGTCCTTCATCCATGTGTCAATGTTTGTATAACCTTGGTTTGAGGTAGTGACTTGTTTTTAAAAGCAATTTGTTTGCAAACTTGTTAGACAAAGCAAATTGACTTCTTTTGGTACCGGATGTTAGGAACACATTATGAAAATGTTAGTAAAGAACAGTACTTTTGTAAGCCATTTGATTGTTTTTGAGTCTATATTCTGTGTCTGTATACCCTGTATATAACTGTCCTTTGGTTAACAAATCAGCTTTATTTTCTATTACAATTGCACTTTGATCAGTAGTTTCACATATTCTATTAGGGACTCATTAGGCCACACCAGTAGTGGTTTGTCACAAAGTTTGTTACAAAAATGTTCTTGACAAAGCTGTTACTAATAAAGGCACCATTGTTTATTGCCCTGTCGTCAAGTAATAAACTCACAATCTGAATTTAATTTATGACATCTGCAGAATTGACAACACAGCCATGACATAACTTCATTAAAGACATTTATATGATGAATAGAAGAATCTATTATGATTATTTAGTAAATATATATATTATTAAATAGAATGTATGAAACTTTTTCCTCAGAACACCTTCTGTGATCCCAGTGATTGTGTCTTAATCTTACTAGATACGTTACTAGAATTTACCAGAAATTGCTTTTGCTCATAAAAGTATGATAAACTTGTTTTAATGGACTAGGCCACACCAATTTGATTTCTTGGTTGATGGATATTTCTAGAAAAATAATGGAGCGGGCGGGCAAAAAAAAAATAAAAAAATAAAAACAGGCCTAGGCATCCTATTATGGCCCAAAATGGTACGATAGGAGCCATGAAGTCAGCACACCAGGCTGGTTCAAAATTTAAACAATGAATTTTGAACTTTTAATGATACCATTGCATTGAAAGATGGAATAACTGTAACAACTAGGATGAAAAGGACTGTTTTCAACTGTTAAGGGCAAAATATGAGCATTTTGCAGTTGATTCTGAATTTTTATTTTTATTTGCAAATCAGAAAAAAATGAAGCAGGCGAATCTGTTAACCAAGAAATTGAATTGGTGTGGCCTTAGATAAGCTTTGCATGTATACATGTAGTTAAATTTTTGTTTTATTTGGCTTTCACGTACACAATAAGTAACCCTCTGCATGAAAGTAGCTATAAAGAGTTTTGAATAAATCAAATATCAAGCATTATATTGAGAATAGCAAACATTGTAAATTATGATTCCTATAGTAAAGCCCGAAATGAAATTTTATGGTCAATCTGGCGTCATAATATCTGGCGTTAATGCTGATAATGTCTGGTATGTTAACCATCAATGGGACCAAATCTTCCTAGATTTTGACTGACAGTTGAATAAGATGCTTGATGCTGGTTTCAATGATAATCTCCCAGCAGGCATCTCATCTATGTCAAGCCTGTTATTTCAGCTCATTGATGCTGGCGCTTTCTCTTATGGAGAATGTTGCCATGAGAATCAGTCCAATCAAATAGCAATTCACCTCTTATTACTGTAAATCCTATAACCCTGAGGCCTTTTTATTATCATAATCCTGCTCTTTTTGTCATGGGGTATAATTTTACTGTTAACTCCACACTGACTTAATTTTATGGATGACATCCTCTGAAGACCCCTATACTAGCAAACAAACAACATGTGAAAAAGAGAATACAGTTATATAAGGGAACATGTACGTCCAACATTATGCTACACTCTGCAGAATTGGTTTGATTTGATTTATTAGGCTGTATAAAATGTATGTATTATCATTAGTTGTGCATAATTATCAGGCCTGATAAAGACTGGACATACAGATTTTTTTTTTAATCGTTTATTTCAAATTTTACATACAAATATACATACAAATAAATACATGGTGTGTTATGGCTTACCCCTCTTTACATCAATTATTCTAAATGTTGGCGCACATTTTGTAATCTAAAAGGTTCGTTTTGTACAATATATTTAAAGATGTAATATTTAGCTAACAACATGGCTTTGTTTAAAAGAATATCTGACGTGTGTCCATAAAGGATATCTTTTTCCTCTAAAGATATTGGTGATTGAGTTTTGGCATTCCACCAAGTGGTAAACTCTTTCCAAAAAGATTTAACAATTTTACAATTTAAAATGCACACACTTGTACACACAGACACATGGGCACACAGATGCTACAGAAAATATTAACTTTCTTGGCAAAGGTAAATTAAAAAAGAATTTCAAGCCCTTCCAGTGTTTGAAAGTGTTTGTATGTCCCAGAACTGAGAATTGACTAAAAAGTATCAGGTTGGACAGGTGTGTCCAGTCTTTATCAGGCCTGATAATTACCTATTGTGGAGCACCAAATGACCAGGTATTGATGTGGACCTGTCAATTTGCATAACCATGCAACCTGTTACCATAGGAGAACTACTGGCTGTCTCCTGGGTTATTTAACATTGCTTCGTTAGGTTTAGGACTTAATTGCACATGATTGTTTTCTATAAGTTTTATCTGATTCAGTTATCTTCGATTGCGAATGACTACCAAGGATCAGGCTTTCTTTTTTGTAATATTATGGTTGTTTTACACCATCTGACAGGTGCAGATACTTAGTACTGCCTGGCCAGTTTTTTTTTTTTAACGGTTAATTTGACACTGTTTTCAAGTTGCCAGTTGAAAAGATCAGCTTGGAGATTAAATTTTGTTATTTTGATGAAGAAGACAGACTGAAAATGTGAAATATGTTTACTAATTATTAAATTGATGACTATAACAGAAGTAATCTGTTATAGACATATTTTCTTCAGATTTTGGAGACCGTGTATTTTGTCATCTTGGCTACATCTGTACATTAACTGTCTTTGTTTGAATTAACAGTTGTTAACTGGTCACATATTGGTGACTATAGCTACCACAAAGGCCATAAATTCTGTAACTTTCTTTATTAAGAAATTTCACTGTTAACCAAATTGACTTAACACACAAAGCGTTGGCTTCATATTTTACTTGATAAACAATTGTTGAAAAACAGATGAAATTTGCAGTAACCAACGAAAATCTTTTATCCACTACTAAGTGTTATTTCTAGTGTAGTGGTTTGTCACAAAGTTTGTTACAAAACTGTTCTTGACAAAGCTGTTACTAATAAAGGCACCATTGTTTATTGCCCTGTCGTCAAGTAATAAACTCACAATCTGAATTTAATTTATGACATCTGCAGAATTGACAACACAGCCATGACATAACTTCATTAAAGACATTTATATGATGAATAGAAGAATCTAAATAGAATGTATGAAACTTTTTCCTCAGAACACCTTCTGTGATCCCAGTGATTGTGTCTTTCTTACTAAATAAGTTACTAGAATTTACCAGAAATTGCTTTTGCTCATAAAAGTATGATAAACTTGTTTCAATGGACTAGGCCACACCAATTTGATTTCTTGGTTAACGGATTTTTCTAGAAAAATAATGGAGCGGGTGGGCGAAAAAACAACAACAATAAAAACAGGCCTAAGCATCCTTTTATGGCCCAAAATGGTACGATAGGAGCCATAAAGTCAACGCACCAGGCTGGTTCAAAATTTAAATAAACAATGAATTTTGAAATAACTGTAACAACTAGGAAGAAAGGACTGTTTTCAACTGTTCAGGGCAAAATATGAGCATTTTGCAGTTGATTCTGAATTTTAATTTTTATTTGCAAATAAAAAAAATGAAGCGGGCAAATCCGTTGACCAAGAAATTAAATTGATGTGGCCTTACTTATTAGGTAGTCTTTTAACAACACTGAACTGAATTGCTGTAACAATCCTGGTAGATCTTTAGAGTTGAATAGCAAATTAGAGATGTCATGATAGCATTGACTGGACAAAGGATGTACTGAGTTCATTTCAGGCCAAGGGTGTGGCCAAAGATAACAATTGTTTTATGACGTAATTCATTATTCAAGGTTGTAAAACTCCGTGTGTGCAGAACCTGCTTTTTTCAGATAAACTTTATCCCAGAATACAGCTAGTGTAGTCAAGTTCACAGTCATAAGTAGAAGATTTCTAGTCTTTTCAGATTTTGAAAGACAAACTTGGAAAGACACCAGTTAGTATTTAAAATCTTAAATGTAAGATGAAGTTGTCAGTTATAGCAGTCATTTTTCACAGTCACTTCTTTTTACCAAAGCTCTACTTCTAATTATAATATAGTTTCTATTTTCCTGTCAGTGGATTGCCAGAAATGTCTTTTGTCAGTAACACCTACGTCAATGGAGATCTTTCAAATGGAAATGGTCATGAAAGATGACAATGTAGGTGTTTTGAGGACAAGCTAAGGCATGCAATTATACCATATATCCTAGCTGTCAGATTGAGTGGTGAGAAACCATTGGGGCCAGGTGATGCATGATTAATGACCTACAAGCGTCACAATTCCCCAGTGGACGGGTGGAAATCTAGTAGTTTGTGCTGGGGATTTAGGACAACTGAAGCTGGGGCCTTCCCTAGTGTTGTCTGGACAGAAACAACTTCCGGAGTCTTGCCCCTTTATTCCTCTAGATAAAAGCGCTAACTTGTGTGTAAGCCCCAGGCTTGGTGGCTTGTGCCGCCTTGGTTGCCTAGGTGACGCCGTGGTGTGACGTCTACACCTGTACGACCTGCCCACCTGCCAGGCGGGGTACACACGACACCTGAGTACCACTCCAGCGCGACCTAACAACACAGACCGATGTCTCAACCCTCTCCTGTTTCACCCCTATTCACCACCCCAGCACCACGCTGAAAAGCACTTGGCATTGTTAGACAGTAAACGATTACTGACGTGCCGGGTGGAAGGAGCCCTCCTGCTTTGTTTCCTGTGGTAGTTCTGGACTCTCTATCCTCTCAGGGGTAAAGAACTGCACATGGAAAAGTCAGCCTTCAAGGTAGTCCCCATGTCAAGGCACTACAAGCTTCAAGGGGTGAGTTCTCTACACTTGTGTTTAGACAACTGGTAAGAGGAGGGTTTGGTTAGGCATTGTAGACAAGTAAGCCCCGTACACCACTTTTAGGTCTGGCTGTTTTCTGTGCATGGGGCGTCTTGAGGTCGTGGTGACAGACACATCCCAACTGCCCGGAGCTATTGCCAGTCCTGCAGTCAGTCTGCATGTTTTGTGTTGCAGGCATTAAGGAAAATGTTGTGTTGTGTATAAGTTTCTAATTGCTCACCTTGCTGTTTGTTGGAAAAACACTGGGGCTTCACCCGCCTGGTTACATTTGTAACAAGAGACAAGACCTCCAAATTATGGGCTTACTCCTGAAGCCTCGGATTAGGCAATCTCATTATTGTACTGCAAAACATATGACAAACATATATGTAAGATGTCAGAATTAGGGATATCCTCCAAGACCTTTTTTATGACTGACTTGTCAGGAACTAACTAAAACAGACATTCAAGGGTATCCCCAATAAGTTACAACTCCATCAGAAGTATAGCAACAAGTTTATGAACAGGTGTATTAATGTGTCAACCATTTTCCATATCATAATGAATTCTTAATGTCAAATGATACAGTTTTGTACTTTCTCTTAGGAAAGAATCTTGTGTCCTTATGGCAGGATTTCTTGCTGAAGAAAGTCTCAGGCATAAAAAGACTTGTTTTTTTAGCAGCAAAGTCAAGGGATGGGACATTATTGTAAAAAAGGCAATACTGTGGTAAATTTAAGTAGAAAACACATTTAAGAAATCCCTCATCAGATAGCAACATTTTTCAAGATCAAGAACTTCTGGCCAGAGAGAGTTTAAAGGAAAAAGCCTGAGTCGGTGGTGAATTTTGTGTTATTAATTTACAATTTTTTAAAAGTGATGAGAAAAATACAGTAAGTTTCTTTCTGAGGTGTTAAAGTTAAAATGAGTTCGCGATGACATCATGTTAAGATGTAAAATGCTGATCCTGTAGTGTTGAAGTGTGTAGTTTAAAGAGCTTGTTTGGAATTCCTCTAAAGCAGATGTTCAGTACTCAAGCTCCAGTCTTTCTTCAACACAACCACTTTTACAGGGAAGTCTTTGTTCAAACTCCCTCAAGTTTCTCACAATAAGCTCCTTTAACAGACAAACATGTTCTCCTGAGTTCTTTTCGTAAACAACTTAGTGCAGGAGACCATTTCGTATATATTCATGAGCTGGCTGACCGACATATGTACAATATCCAAAGTTATTTTAAAACTCACTGGGGGGCAAAAACAAACTGCCCCCACCTGTTGTCCTAACTCTCCCTCCCCTGGTCAACTTCTCCACATAACTCACTGCTTTTGTGTATTCACCTTTTGATTTATATACCTTAGATTCAAACCAGTGGATGTTTTGAGGCAAACAAAATGGTTGTTACCTAGGCAAGATCCTCCAGTTTTTATTGAACTCTCAATCCCCTGGAATTGTTGGGTAGAAACTTGAAGTTCCTAAGATAGCCCACTGCTTTAAAATTCATGTCCTAAATCTGATATGTCACATTTTAGATTTGAGATATGGTGGGTGTGATAAGCTTAAGGGTGTGCATGCTGTAAGGCAAGCAAGGTTGTTGTGGCTTAGCAAGATCAGAAATGCTCTTAAGAAAGGCAAACACATGTGAAACCTGGTTATTAAGATTGGACTATGTTATTGACTACTAGTATTGTCAAACTTTTGTCCATTCATTGGCCATTTTAAGCATTGATGCAATGTTTAAGTAATCAAAAATTCTTCTTTGAGGGCCTGCAAGGGGGGGTCCCAACAACGCTCTACACTGAATTCGGAAACCTCTCGATTACGCTTTACGATAAATTCCAAGTGGCTACAACGCATTATGTAGAATTAAGACGCCAAATACGCTCTACGCAAAATATTAGAGCGGTCCGTCTACGCTCTACGTAGAATTAAAACTGCCGATTACGCTCTACGGAAAAGGGCTTGCGGGACCCCTTCTTTATGCCAAGGCTTGAAGAAAGAGATGGATTTTTAAAATGCCTCGTGTACCAAGCAGGCCTGGACATCCTGATGGCTTGTTGTTTTATTGGACGTACTAGTACTGGAAAGCCAAACCAAGAGACTGGAAATTACTTTTCAGTTGTTTCAAAGGCCTGTGAAAACTGCTGTGCTATAAAACCCTCGTAAAGTGTGAGCAGCCTTTGTGTGCGGACACGTACAACAGAAACATTTTGTTTTCCCTCCTGAAGTTTGTCGTAAATTCTGAGAAGCGTGGTTCCCATGGGAAGGGTTAAACATAGATGGCCAAGGACGTTTATAAAGACATCAGGATTCAGCAGTCTTTTCTTAGGTTGAAGGCAAAAAAAAGACAAGTGTATGCATGGTTGACACAATACAAACAGACATTTAAGTCTATAATATGAAAAACTTAAACTTTTCTCCAACTCAAAATTTGACTCACCAGAAATTTTCGACTGAATCACTCAGTCTTTCATGCAGACATTAAAGTCTATCTGCAGCCAATTTTGTCAATGCTCTCACTTGTAGAAAAAGAGTCCTAAGTCAGTGTTGCATACAGTTTTTGCTGAAAGCTATGTGAATCTTATATGTAGAGGAGCATTTAGAAATCCCACCAACCTAAAGACAATTGGTTGCAAAATCTCCAACAGGAAAAACTTGTACAGAATTCAGATTATCACAACAGCATCACAAGGTATGAAGAAGACCTTTAATTTTTGCATTCTATGGATGTAAGGATCTAGACTAAAGTTAATTATGCACGCTTTAAGTAATTCCACCAGGTGTTCTTCAGGAATAGACATTTTATCAACCAAGTTGCAAGACTTCATAGGAGGTTCTAACTGTCATTCTTGCAATGCATGTGAACCATTCTTCCATTCACATGACAGATACACAATGTATAGAACTAGTCATTTTGGGCACTGGAATTTTCTCCTGGAGGCAATACAACTGCATTATAAAACCTTTTCTTCAGTCACGTCATGAAAGAACAAGAAAAAGCCTGGTGCTATTTTGAGTCTGATTAATTTCACCGTTCTAAAACCAGATGTAGTCACCTGGGCTTGTAAAGACTTAAAAAAGGGCCATGGTTTGTGATTTAACACGTCTTGTGTAAGATTCAGCCATAAATTCCTTCAGGATTGACAGAGGATAACAGCCATTTCCTCAGTGTTTTCAGTCCTAACTGTTAGGCAAATATAATCAACAAAACCAATTTTAAGAAACACTTGAGGCCACCATGGAAATGGTGCATCCTCCCTAGTTTTGGCAAATACAATCAAGAAAAACAATTTCACAAAACACTAATAAGATTACTGTGGAGATAATACATCCTCAGTCATATTGGAGTAACATCTGTAGTGAAAAAGTTAAAAGTTTATAGAAAATAGATTTTGAAATTCACATACTAAATTTGTTGAACAGGGATGTTAAGGTTGTGTTTATTCCTTACAAATAGTGCAAACTAGTCTGAAGTTGTAAATGTAAGTTTGTTGGATATTCTCTGGTCCATGGATTTAAGTTGGTGATTGTGTCAAAGTTTGGCCATTTTAGGGTTATGAAACATTACCTCATTGATCAACAGTCAATAAAGATGACCTATTTTGAGCGCCAGATAATGTTCTAATATGTACTTAGTCAATCTACCAACTATTGTACTACTGTATCAAATACGCATTCAGGTCTTTTATCGCTCAACTGATCGTATATAAGGTTGGAGATTGATATATGACAGACAAAGACATCTGGTCATCATTACAAGGAACCAAAACACCTGTGCTTTCAGAGTACTGTTTATTTCTCTAGCAGTAGCTCCACAGACAACGTTTACCTGTGATGGCAGTAAACATGCCTGTCCCAATTTCCGATTGTTCAGTTTCGTCAGCTTAGCGCAGCTCTTTCTTGTCTGTCCTGCATTGTTGTTTGGATAAGGCAGGGTTTGAGTTATCTATAGGAGGAAAGTGACATGGTGGACAAAGGCGATGGTTGGGCTGGTAATCTAGCGGATAAAGGGAGTTGACATAGAGAGGTTACATTACGCCTGCTCCAACAATCAAGGTGTCATCGCACGTGAGTTTGTATGTCAAGGTGGGAGTTAAAAGCCTTCTGATGGTGAGAGCTATCACCAGACAGGCTTAAAAACCTTTTGTTTGCTCGGAGAAAAGCATCTCTTAGGTTAGAAGGTTGTGCTGCTTAATAGGGCTGGCTGCTTGAACCTGTATAAGTAGAACATTTTTAGTACATTCTAGGTTAAGCAATTTATGCCGAATTTAGTGACAAGCAAAGCTAGCATGCTCCAATATGATGATAGCATAATATGTAGTTATTACCTGTCATGAAGCAAAACAGCAATGTTATAGATCTACTGCAAAATTTTCTCTCTGAATCAAAACAAAAACATTTGCCCAAACAAAAGCTGTTGTTATGATCGCATTACAAATGTGCAGGGTTTGCGTGGGAAGTCCACAAAGTATGGTTCACTGTTTGTCTCGATGTTTACTGTCTGTACTGATCAGTATTTAGGAAAATAATAGGTCTGCTAATTAGAAAGAGTTGAAAGGAAAAGTGTATGAAACTGTCTTAAGTTTAAGTGCATGTAAAACTTTTTCTGCGTGCGGTCTACGGATTCACCACCCGTGTGTGCGAGTACCAGCAACGCGTGTGCCCCGTACGTACTATACGAAAGACGCATGTGTGAGTACGGCCTCCTTACGGTAAAGTTGCAATCACACAGAGATCGTACGTTGTAAGCACGTACAACTCACCACTTGTGCAACGTACGATACACGCAACCGCTCACGGCCAGACTTGGCGTGCAGACCACACTCTTACACCTTGCGAAACTGTGCGAGTGACGTGCGTCGACGCCACTCCTTCCCCATGTTTTCAGAAAAACGTTGCAGACGTAGCCTCCAAAAAAACCTACGGACAAAAAGCACGCACGGCGGGTCGTGACCAAGGCTTTACTTCTAATAGCCTTAAGGCAGTTTGGTGGTTCA